AGATGATGAGTCATGGACCTCATGTGGGCACAATGCAACAAAATGTTGCATGGAACAAATTAACAAATGATCATCACTTAAAGTGGAAAGAATTGTCCTTGTTTCCTTCCACTGGCAAAGGGTACTGTGAGAATGTTAAAAATACTGGAGTGAATGAAGTCATCATAAAGAAGAGAGAAGAATGATGCCTCAGAGAGTTATAGGTCCACTAGAATTGGAGTTTGGGCCATGTGCATTCAGAAATAATTTTATTTTCCAGTAATGACAATGTGCAGTTCCACATAAGAAATGAAATTGAAGAATTGATCAATATTGTGGATAGCTTCAATATTAAAATTAACATATAAATTTAGCATCAATCTTATTTCTCCACTCATGTCCACTGAGTAAATGCACATAAAGAATGAATCACTGAAACAGTATACTGGGGGAAGCAAACTCATTTTTCACTTGTGTCAGCACAAATGTGAATTGAGCCTGTTTACCATACAACCAACAAATGTTCTAGAGATGCCCCTTCAGACTTATAACGAGGGCAAATTTGGAGAGTGTAAGGGGAAAACAATACCACCAGGGTTGAGGCAGCAGATAAAGAGGCTTGCTATAGAACAGCTCTGTTTATGAACAAACCATACTTAGACCAGTTGGCCTATTGGCTCTTATATATCGTTGCAGGTATGTTATGAGTATTCTCGCATGCTACAGTGACAAATTGTTAATTAACGTTATCCTCGCAACCTCCGGTTTGAGGTGGAGACATTTTATTACCATTTTTGCACATTGGGAACCAAGGAACATATTGACTTAAGCAACTTGCCCACCATCTGTGCAGGAAGAGAGACCTGAACTTAAATTTGAGGACTGCAGAGACTTTTCTTCCACTTCAATGGTCACTGAACTTAAAGGCAATGTGGACACACTGCCACGTGAAAAACATCTTTCTCTCGATGGTCTTGGGTTTGCCCATTCATATTGCGTTTCTGGGACTTTCTGGTAAATTATCTCCAAAAACTACTCTTCTAATTGTTATTTGTGCTTTCATTTTGGGGAACATACACATTTCCTCCGGCTTGAACATTTCTGAGTTGACTAAATACAAAATCAGTCCATAGGATGGAGTCAGACAACATGAGACTCTGAGTCATAGACAGACAAATTTCTGAAGCAGTTAACTAGTCATAACACACTGTGCAAAAAATAAGGCTGTTCCAGCAGCTTTTTCTGTGAATGACTGAGGCCTGCTTCTGCTCTCATTGAATCTACTGGGGAAAAAATTGCCCACTTACTTAATAGAGCAGGACCTTATTCATAGATCACGTTGGAAGGAAGGTGGAAAATGAGACTCACAAAATTTCTATGAAAAAAATCACTGAAGTTGCAAGATTTTGGTGGGCAGCCAGAGTTATCACAACAGTACTTAGACTGTAGTAAGCCAGATTCAGATATGGCTTAGGGGAAAAATGCAAAGCACTATAGCTATAGCAGTCCCATCCTCAGGGGTTGATTGTCCACATTACGGACTCCACACATGTGGCACAACTAGTAGGTTATTCTATGGGTCCTATTCTGCTTTCATCTTTCAATCAATGTCATTGGGTGTGCAAAGAATTCAGGCCTGCGCCCTCTGAAGCTGACAGAGATAACAGCAGGGTTACAGGTCAGGACTGAGGGGTGTTGGCCCAACAATTGTGTGGAGAAACATGCACAGCACTTGCTTATGCAATGCCTGCTTCTTGCCAGTGCTGTGACCAGGGCTTACAGTGCAGTGACTCTACAGGGTTGCAAGACCCCACTACTATAAATTAATTACAAACCGAGCCAGGTCACAGAGGGCCGCACTTTAAGCACTGTCTTACCAGCTCTCCTGTTCCCAGATTATGATAGAGCCCTCCTCCCCCTCCCTCCCCCACTTTTTCCAGAATACTCTAACCACTGGCTGTGACTTTCCTTTAAGTTGGGAGTTACCAAAAATGAATATAGAGATTTGGGTTGTATGAGTCCTTTCGGACAATACAAATAGTGAGAGTGCAGGAGAGACTAATGCTACAGCTGATCACCTTCACAAGGCCTGATTCTCCCTTTGCAGTGTTTACACACTGGCATAATACCATTGACATAGAAGGAGTTATGCTTGATTTACACTGATGTACATCAAGTACAGGGAATTGAGCGGGCTTCTAGTAGTTCATGTATTCAGTCTGAGGAACCGATTATTATTTTCAATATTATACCAAGGATAAGAAATTATGCTCACTTATCAATGGACTGGTGTATTTGGGATTCTTGCTCCATGATAATCATAAAGAAACAATTACATTCTGACACAGCTAGCCAAAAGCCAGCTTTCTTCCAGTGGTATCTCCACACTCCTATTTTCTAAAAAGTCCTTCTTCCACTAGGAAGTTGCCAGTTGGTGTAACCACAACAAAATGCATTCCTGTGTGTGGCAAAGTTTATTTCCCCCTCTATTCCATCCATCTAGTAAGCAGACAGATGGGCTCAGTTGACTTTACGGCTAATGATGCATCTGGGTCACCCAGCAAGAACGTTTAGGCAAAGGCTCCTCCTGGAAAGAAATCATTGCCTGGCACAGCCAGCTAAAACTTCCTGGCTATGTCTACACTGCAAGCTTCTTACACAAGAATGGCTGTTCTTGCACAAAAACTTGCGGAGCGTCCACACTACAAGCCCACTCTTGTGCAAGAAAGTTTACAATAGATCATCAGAAGTGAGGGCTTTTTGCATAAGAGTTATTCCTCTCCCCACGAGGAATAAGCCTTTTTGCACAAGAGTTCTTGTGCAAAAAAAGCTAGTGTGTACGGGAACAGGGGTTTCTTGCATAAGAAACCCCTATGGCTAAAATGGCCATCGGAGCTTTCTTGTGCAAGAGAGCATCCACACAACCATGAACGCTCTTGTGCAAAAGCACATCTCTTGCGCAAAAGCACATGGCAGTGTGGACGCGCTCTTGCACAAGACGTTCTTGCACAAGAAGCCTGCAGTGTAAACATAGCCCGAGTTCTAATCCTGACTAACACTCATGATCCCTTTGACCCTGAAATAAGTGTAGCACTATGGATTACATACCACACTGAAGCAGAATGAAAATTAATTTGTTTTAAAAGTGTTTAAGAAAAAAAATACTATATAAGTGCACATAAGTATTGTCATTTCTCCTTCCAAAATGGAAATACCAGGATTAAGACATAGTGAGATAGTTTTATCTGTTTGTCATTGCCAGGGATTTTATTTATATATTTGTTTGCTTCCCCCCCTACATTTATCATTTTATTATCTGGCAAAAAGAAGCAGCTCCCTTTCAAATAGATTGACAGATTTGGCAAGGGAGCGTGTCCCTCTGAGGATCACTGTGCACTGAGAAAAGAAAAATCACACAGCAATTTTTTTCTATAGACAAGTATGCTTGTGATCTAAGGAAAACCCTGAGTACATAAGCATGTCCAAATATGAAAGGTTAAAAGAGAATAGAGAGGCCATTGATCTCCTGCAAAGCTAGCCTGAATAATTTTTACCTGTATTACAGCAGTGCCTAGCACGGTTTGGGCCACACTGTGCTAGACACCAGAATTGTTTTGAGGTGTTACATACTTCCTGGCTCCTTCATAAAGGCAGAGCAGTTCATGCTTACTTAAGCTGTTCTGAAACAAAAGACAGGAGTATGCAGCACTTTAAAGACTAACAAGATGGTTTATTAGGTGATGAGCTTTCATGGGCCAGACCCATGAAATCAAATTGTGGAAGAGAATTGGCATGACCATATATACCAAAAGGATACAAACAAACAAAAAGTGAACACATATAAAATAGACAAATCAGATTTTATAACAGAGGGAGGATGGGGGGGAGGTTAATGTCTATGATATAATGATATTAGAGGTGATAATTGGGGAAGCTATCTTTGTAATGGGTAAGATAATTAGCATAATTAACAAAGATGCTAATTATCTTACCCATTACAAAGATAGCTTCCCCAATTATCACCTCTAATATCATTATATCATAGACATTAACCTCCCCCCCATCCTCCCTCTGTTATAAAATCTGATTTGTCTATTTTATATGTGTACACTTTTTTTGATTGTATCCCCTTTGGTATATATGGTCATGCCAATTTTCTTCCACAATTTGATCTGAGGAAGTGGGTCTGGCCCACGAAAGCTCATCACCTAAGACACCATCTTGTTAGTCTTTAAAGTGCTGCATAGTCCTCCTGTCTTTTGTTTCAGCAAGACCAGACTAACACAGCTACATCTCTATTACTATACTTCATATCCTGGCAATAGTTGCACCTACACAACATGTGTGTTAAAGCACCAGCTAAAAATCAATTGACAGAGGTGTGGTCACTAACTTAAGGTTGAAAAGATGATACTGAAACCTCGATGACACTTTGATGAGGAACCTGGTATATTAATTGTTCACTTTAGACATACTCGGTGCATGTATACTCTATAGATGCTGTCGGCAGAGTTAATTGGGCCAAAATCTGTGAAGATATAGCTGTCAAAAATGCAATTTGCTCTAAAGCCCTATTTGAAAGAAATGTCTTCTGGAACCACATGACCTGCATCCTCTCTTTTATGCTGCGTTAGACTATGAGGAAAGGGAGTTATGGAGAAACATCCTGGTATAGCAAATTCTGCTTTCCTCAGAAAACCTCACCAGTTTCTACAAACACATGCCTCCAAGAGACCTTAACTTCACTGATGACATTTAACTGATGACAACATTAATAGTGTAAGAACAAACACAAATTGCCATGCTGTTTATAACCACTCGACAGCATTTAGGCACCATTAGTCATGTTCATTCACAGTCTTCAGGTTCATAGCCAAATCTTCAAATGGTGCAAACTGACCTAGCTCCATTGAAGTCCACTGAAGTCAAAGAAGCTAGGCATAATTACACCAGCTGAGGCTCCATCCCTCACTTTAAAATTGTTCTTTTCCCAAATAGAAATGACATAAACCAAGATCCTCTTCTTAGTTTATTTTGCTAGCGTCCTTAGCATGCTACATTAACCTGACAATGTTTAATCTTGTGTTCATTTCACAATACATTTCATGCAATTCACAGCTGTAATTGGTTTTACATTGACATTACACATGTTTTGATCTAGCCATGTGAAAAGAGTAATTCTTAGTGTTATTTGTCTCTAAAAAGTGTCCACGCTTAAACAGCACAGAAGCAGTTCATTTTAGTCTCATGTGCAGTCAGTCATTTTGATTTGTTTTGGGGGACAGGGGATAGTTTTTGTTTTGTTTTTTGTTAAATGCAAGGATGATTATTGGCATAAGAATATAAGGTCCCTGCTTAGTCCATTTGCAATTGAACTACGTTCTTTTGATTTCTTATGTCCTGAGGAGTCCTCTCTTATAAAACAGCATTCAAGTATTCTATTTTAACATTCCCAGGTGTCTGAGTTAAAGGGCAAGGCAGACCTTCAGCATTAGGTTCTATTATAAATCTTCCACAGTCCCAGCTTTCCCTTAATTATTCTTATCCTTAGAATCTTCCTTTTGTACTAAACATTCAGCACTAAAGCCACAGAGAATAGCTATTTGGCATTTTCCAGTGAAGTGCAAGAAATTAAATAAGTTATGTCTTTATTGCTAACGTACAGTACCAAGCAAAGTCACTTTTTTATATAATTGCCAGGGTTTCACAGAGAATGTTTCCCTCCTCTTGTTGCCCAGTAGTTCAGCCGAATTGCAAATATCACTTACTTATCACATGTCAAGTGTCATTCTAAGATGATGTATTGTGTATTCTAGAGTCTGAAGAATCAGATCTTTCATCATAGTCATCTTCTGTGTAAATAGGTTGTTTAGACACAATTGGACATCCATCATCAGGGATTGAGATCCTGGGATCTTCTGATGCACGAGCCGGAAGAACAGGTGAGCTTCGGAATACACTGGTTGAATTACTAGAGAAAGGGCTGACGTATTGGGACCTCAGCTGGTATTGCTGCTGCAGTGTCATGGTGTTCCATAAGGTGACATCGTTAGGTAGAAAAGGACTAGATTGATTTCTCGCCAAAGTGTTCCTCAGCATCAGCGGATAGCGTGGTGGCTGTGGGAAAGGATGCTGTAAAGGTACAGCCAAAGGGTTTGGGACAACACTACTAGAATCAGTGGAGAATCTCAACGTGTCTGGAACTCGAAAGGCTGATCCCACAGACCACTTAGAAGAGGAAATAGGATATGAACTCAGGGTGTGTTCAAAAATATGCCCATTGGAAGGCAAAACAAGACCATCTGATTCGGTAGCAGTTCTGTCCCCACCAGCTACAGAAGATCGGCTGGACAAAAGGACTTCAACAGCACTCACCAGATCACCCCCACAGCCTTTCAAGATTAATTCAAGCACAGTTGGCTTTTGGTTGGGGAAGATTTTTTTTAACACTTCAAGAGGAGGCCTGTTGGCCTTCAAACTGAAAGGCAGAGAAACTGTCCCCGATGGACCTTCTATCAGGAGATGATTCTGTTCTGCATGGTACTTGGGACTGTCTGTTCTGCTTTCTGTGCTGCCACCATTTTTCTGGGCTGCATAACCACTTTCATCCACTGACACTATTTCAGGGCTCTCGGGAGTGAAGCAGCTTTTGGCTTTTGTCACATCAGGGGAGCTCCTTTGGTCTGGGTCTTTGTCACTGTAGGACTCAGCATTGTCTGTTCCACTTGCGTCACCCAACCGTTCCTCGGTCATGTCTGTAAAGTAGAAGGCAGTTGTGTTAAGCCTTTTACAGAGTCCAAACACTTTTTACAAACATTGTATTATACATTTTGAATATGAATGAAGCAAGAATTTACTGAAGGAAAGAATGTCCTGAGAGTTCAATAAAAGGTTGAATGAAGTGGAGAGCCTGTTTCCATTGTGCCTACATTAAAAACCTGTACCCAAACCAGTGGCAGATTTATAGTTAATGGGACTCTGTGCTCAGCTTCATTCTCCCCCTCCTCCACTTGGGACTCAGCCAACAAAAAGATCATTCTTCCTCACTTCCCTCTCCACTACTCCCCATTGTTCATTCTTCCTCCTCATCCTACATTACAGTGTCTCTCAAAGTGGTCCACAAAACCACTTTGAGAAGCCTGTTAACTGATTGCGCCGATTTGTTTATTTACTGGTGCCACAGAGCCTTGTGGCTCCATTTCACCATTTGCAGCCAAGGGGAGCCATGGGAAGTAGCACCTGAGTCACGCCGCTTACCTCAGCTTCACTTGGCTGCAAACCACAAAATGGAGCCACTTGGAGACGTGCAGCACTAGTAAATAAACAAACTGGTGTGGCCTCTTAACAGATTTCTCAACGTGGTTTCATGGCCCATTTTGAGAAACATTACTATATTATATGTAATAGGAAGTAAAGAAAATAAAGTGAGGTACCATGATTGGTGTTATAAGTCTTTTTTTTTTTTTCACGGACCACTTGAAAATTCCTGAGGCTCTCAGTGGACCACTTAATCATCTTTCCAGATGTTGTTTGTATATATTAGATAAGAGCCTTTTATACAAGAAACCTCAATAACCTTTCTTCGGTCTACCCGAATGGAGTTCTCGGACCACAGTTTGAGAACTTCTGGTCTAGATGAAAACTTGTGGATTATGCTAATGTGAAAAATGTATAAAAATAAAAAACATGGATGATGTGCATCAATTGTTTTATTATTTTCCTCAGCATGACATACAGAAAGGGCAATCAAAACAACCTGGCAGAACAACATGCATGAAAACTGTTTCTGCACAGATAAGTTTGTGATCTCTTTGTGGGGAGAAATCCTGATCCAATTGAAAGCAAAAGGAGTTTTGCTAGTGAGTTCAATGGGAACAGGCTTTGACATTTGGAGAAGAAAGAACAAAACCGCTCAAGCCAGGGCAATGTCGCATGCACCACGAGTATCAAAGACTGGTGACTTATGTGAGAGAGTCAGCGAACATCTGGCCTTTGTCTATTGCAAGGGAGAAATCAGCAATTAAGTAAGCTAGAAGAGTCTCCTGTATCATATCCTACTCATTCCCCCCCCCAGTTCCTGCTGCCCTCCCACCCTGCCTTTTCTGCTGTTCAGGGCTCATATCCCACTCTGCCTCTCTCCTCTCTGGGCCCAGTGAGAATCCAGTCTCACCCTGACCCAGGACTGTGTAGTAATGAAGCTTGAAGGTGAGCCCTTGGGCAACTGTGCTCCTTGGTGCAGCAAGAGTAAAATTTCTACTCTGTTACCCTTGAAGTGTCAGAAGCAAGTGGAAGTTGTGGGAGGAGCTCCCCTGGGCAGGCATCGAGTCACTGACCAAGAGGAACTGGAACTCTAGCACCATCTGGACTAGGAGAGATCAGAGATGAGCCCCAGAAAGGGGCAGTCCCCTATTCAGCCTCTCCTCCCCCTCTCTCCCTCCTGGCTGGCTCCTTCCTCATTGGTTCTTCTTTCTGGGGTCCTCAAGCAGCTCTGCCCTGCCTCTTCCCTTCCCTTTCTATGTAAGGAATGTCCATTCAATGTAGACAGGGTAGGCATTATCCAGGGTCTACTGTGAGCTAAGTGTTCCTTATGGGTCATTCCACTTCACTATTGACTTGCCCCTGGCTTTCATGTGCAAGCTAAATACCTTGTGTGCATTACCACAAGAGCAAACATAAACATATGGCACAATGAGGAAACATGGGACATTTGTTTTATTTTGCTACTTCAGTGTGATGCCTCCTGAATTGGGGATCTGGGGCCACCCCACCAATTGTTTCTGGGTCAACCTGCCCCTGACCCAAACCTCTCTCTTTGCCATGCTACATGGTACAATACCAGTGCTCATGCCAGTGGGGTGCTCTCTAGCCAGGACTAGCTGATGGGAGGGGATATACACTGTGCCTTTGATACCACCTCATACATATCTTAATCTTTCTACATTGTATAGAGAGGGGATGGGTTTGGTTCGCTCCATTTCTGCTAACCCTGTGGAGTGCTAGATTTGTCATTCCTAATTTGGATTTCCAGTCATAACATAGCCATACGTCAGTTGAATGCCAGACGCCCCCACAGGCATTTCCACTCTTTCATACCAGTATTTCCTTAGGACCACATCATGTTCTTTGTGAATGGTCGGTGCCCTGCAGACCTCAGGCACCAGAACAATCCCCATAAGGCCAAACAATATTCATGAAGTCATCCATTACTCCTGCCTCAAGGCTGAGAAGCCCTCATCACCTGCACGCTTTGCTTCTGCTCCCACACAAGCCACTCTCCCCACTGTGGAACACATAGTTCCCCCCAACCCATAGAGCACAGCTCAGTGATAGCCTCCTGCATCAACTCTCCTACTCTTGCACTCTTACCCTGTGCAGAAGACTGTACAATTCCCTTTTCCACAGACACAACAGGAAAGGGGAGGATTTACCTCTTAGGTTCATGGCGCCCTAGTTCTCTGTGTATCAGATTCTAATCTATTATACTCTAGTTAATATGGTACTCCACAGAGAAGGAGGCAAAGATTTTCCAAAGTGACTAGTGATTTTTTTCCTTAAATAAACACTGAACAAGGCCTTAAGACATTTTGTTCCGAACTGCACTAAAATGAGGCCAATCCATTATGAACCGTACTAGTGCAAGGAAGCTGCCTCGAGCAAGCAAGAAGCTTCAGGGCTGGAAATCATGCGAGTAGCAACTACGCATTGAAAACTGTAAATTACTTCTGATAACTTGCAGACAGCCAAGCTGGGGAGCCCTGGCTGCTCACTGCATGGAATCTTTCCTAGTGATCCCCCAGAGAAGGGAGTGTTCATTTTATCATGGTTTCACTGAATGTATTTTGGCCAGCTCAGCCTCTGAAATCTGCTCCCACACAGAGCAAGGGCTTAGCTTTTGTGACAACATCCCTCTTTCCCGGGGCTTAAGAAATTCCCCAAAGTTGGGGCTGTATTATTGATGTGTCATCTACACACATCAGCTGGGAGGGACTTTTCTTCACAGGTTATCTTAGGAGCATAGAGCAATTTGATTGGAAGGAGGGATCCTAGGGCTCCGGAATCAACACAGGAATGGACTTTCCTGGGCTCCTGTACAGCTCCAGCGATATGCCTGGTTCTGAGAGCCTGCAAACCCCACCTCCCAGATGGAATGATTGCAGAGGAATGAAGCAACATAGAAATCCCTGTGGAGATTTCATCCCCCTTAACTCCCTCTCATTGGAAATCCAGTGTGTATGAAAACATGAAGAAAACGTGGTTACCTTTGAAGTTTGCTTTTTAACATCTGTTTTACAATGTCAAGCTTACGCCCTACCTGTTTATGCACCTGGCCACATCTGATGCACAATTAGACTCTGAACAGGCGTCATAATTTCACATGACGTTATATCAAGCAGAAAACTATTGTGTGGGCACTTCCTCTGTGCTCGGTGCATGTCATCTGTGCCTCAGCGGCAAAAGAAAACAAGAAAGGGGAAACAAGAAATTTACCCCCACACAAGCTAAAATGATATAAACATTTTAAATTAATGTAAGTGTGTGTGCAAGGAAATTTTGTGAAGGCCAGCCATTATTAGAGGAGAATGTTTAGTTTGCCATATGCTAACCACCTCTATACCCTGTAGACACCCTAATGCTGCAGTGCACCAACTTTAAGGACCTGATCCTGCATTCTTCATGTGTAGTTTCTATTAATATCAATGGGAACCATACATATGGAAGGTATGCTGGATAGAGCTTGGAAGATAAGTTACAGCAGCTCTTGCCCCTGCATAATTATTTCTAGTACACAGACACTTGAAGAGGATAGTATGATGGTATTTTTCATGTAACCACTATTCTATAGTGACGACTATAATCATGCAAGTAAGAATATTTCATAAATATTCTTAGTTTCCAAAATGTATATGCTGATATGCAGTTTACATTTAATACTGGGTACCATAACCTAGCAAATATATATTAAAATATATTCATATTACATCTCCCAAAGCAGTTAAATGCAGCCTCAGTCCTGCAAAATTATTACTTTATGGGTTTTATGTTTGGGGGGGTTAAAATAGTTTTCAAATGTTCTAACTTCTCTTTATGAAATTTGACTTAAAGATGCTTTCAGATTCTAGATATTTAACTGAATGAATTAAAAAACTAAGCATATGTACACACACACACTCTCTCTAATTTCAGTGACATCAGGAGAGGTTTATAATACATATACCCTGTAAAAAATCCTTATTTCTAGCCTTGTATCTGGGCAGGTTAAATTTGCACTACATGCGGGAGAGGCATGTATCTCCCCAGAGACTGCCCAAATCCTCCTAGTATCGGAGTTACAAAAGTGAATTTCAACTATTTAAATGAAATTATAGTATATTTGCACCTCATTGTTACTATTATCACAGGGACTTTCCTTCCTACCCTTAGTAAGCATTTAGAAAATTATACTTAGTAGGATTGATCCTATTTTTATAATAAAATTATTTTCTTTATGGTTGTCAGTCACAAGCCTTTTTCCTGTTGAACTGATCTGGATATGATGGGCACCAATTCAAAACTCATGATGACCTGTAGAAGTCACAAATGTCTAGTTTCTCAGACAGGTCAGATGGTAACTGCCTTGCAGCACTTCCCAGATTCTGCTGATTTTTGCCTGGAAGGCAATTTCTGTACTTTGTGCAACTCATGTGAATACTCGTGAACACTTAGCATACAAGCGGTGTTCAAAAAAGGGCAATTTTTGTTGATTCCTTTCCTTTTTGTGGAAACGATTAAGGTGAGATTTGTATATATTTGCAATAGGCAGAGAATAACAACTGTTAAATAACGAAGGA